CCACACCTGAAAATAGATTTGGGGTTAAAACATAGCAGTTTTGCTTGTTTTCCCTTTTCCTAAGAGAAGAGGGTAAAGGAAATTCTCTAAGTTACTTACAGCATATGTTAAAGTTTTATTCAATTGATTGATGGTGGAAAGAATGAGGAAGTCATAAAAACTGGTTCCCCATGTTTTTGAAGGAAGTATCTGTGTGTGTGTGTGTGTGTTTAGCAAAAGAAAAAAAAATACCAGATTAGATACTAACATTCTACAAGGCAATAAAACTGTAGCTCCTTTGTAATGCTTTTGGGATAATTTCCCTATCAGTCTATAAAAACTTAATACAAACTCCTATTAATGTCTGTAAAGTATCTTAACTTTACAGGACTACAAACTGCTGTGCTTCATTATTTTTATCAGGTGGATTTTTGATCAAATATCCTGTGGCAACAAAGTCCCATCCCCAAGAATGTCAGAGAGGGTGTGGGACAGGCTTGTTGGAAACCACTCTATCACATGGTTACTCCAAGAGTTATATTTGCACCAGCAGCACTGGTGTCACTGTGGAATTTGAAAGGAGTGCAGAGTTTTAGGCCCTACCTTGAATCATCAGAATCAGAATCTGCATTTTAATAAGATGCCTACATGAAGTTTGTTTTGTGCACATTAAAGTTTAAGAAGCTGCTAGGGTTGGGATATTAGTTTAGGTGTCTCCCAACAGGTTATATGTTAAAGGCTTGGTCTCCAGAGTTTTATGTTATGGTATTAAAAGAATGGAAGCTTAACCCAATTAAGCTCTTTGGAGATAATGTCTTGGAGAGTGACTAGGTTGGACTAGGTTATTAGGGTGAAGCCCCCGTGAGTAGATCACGGTAGCTTTATAAGAGGAGACATAGACCCATGTGCACCCCCTCTTGCCATGTGGTGCTCTGCACCAATCTTGCGACTCTGCCGGCAAGAATGCCACCACCAGATGCCAACACCAACGGGGCCACCCAAATCATGAGCTTAAACAAACTTCCTTCCTTCGGGAGTAGCTTGTCTTAGGTATTTTGTTGTAGTAATAAAAAGCTAATACCAAAGCACTGGTCTATGCTGATAAAGCATCAGGCAGTTGAAATTTTTACACTGTAAAAGCTTAAAATACATTTTTCTTTCATTTATTTTCCTCACTGCATTCAGGAGTAAGCTCAGAGTGACCCACCAGTTCTGTCACTGGGTCTTGAATGAACAGTCCTTTCAGCCAGTTCTAGAGAGGTTGTCCACCCTGAATTCAGCACAGGGCTTGTCTTCTCTTATTTCTGGAGGGAGTTTTGGAATTAGGGTTTCTGTATGAGGTCAGTAAGGCACTTGGTTTTGGCCCTGGTAATGCAGGTTTCTGTATGAGGTCAACAGGGCACTTGCTTTTGGCCCTGGTAGTGCCACTCTGTGTGCTGGCATCTTGTATGTGTTATCATATTAATCCTCATTAGACTCATTTGAGGAGGCATCACTGTTAGGGTTTGCATCTGGTTTGTCCCACAAAAGTTCGTGTGCTGTAAGCTTGGTCCCTACTATGGTGGTGTTGAGGGAGATCCTTTAAGATGCTGGGCCTAATGGAGTCTACTTAGGTCACGGAGTCCCCAGTCTCATGAATGGGTTACTGCTGTTACTCTGGAGGAATCAAGTCTCCTGTGACTGGGTTAGTTCTCAAGACAGCAGACCATAGTAAACTGAGGCCCTTCTTGCACTTGGCCCCTTCTGCATGCAGCTGTTTCTCTTTTTGCTTCTTTACTGTGTTCTGACCCTCATCAAATAAATACTAAGGTGTTTGGACTTTTCAGCAACTGGAATTGTGAGCCAAACAGGTCTCTTTTCTTTATTAAGTAGCCAACCTCAAGTAACTTTTTTTTTTAAATAGGAATACAAAAGGGCTAAGATGATTGTCAGCTCCACTTCTCAGAGAAGTGTCCAAGATCTCATGACTAAAAAGCACTTGGGTGAGATCCAAAATCAGGCATGATGCTGCATCCCTTTTTCTTTCCATGAAATCTTCCCTCCTTAAAATGCCGCAGCTCATAGCTTTCTTAGCTAATTCTTCAAACATCCATATACCTCTCAAATTTCTTGATTCACTATTTTAGTGAACTCATAGAACTCCATTGCTAACTAAGATGAATTCTATAATAATAATTAATAATCATCACCCTTTTAATACCATTTACTAAGCACTAATACTTGACTCTTTGGTACTCCACTATAGTCACTCAATACCCAGTTCACTGTTCTACCTTATCATTTATTACATGTTTCAAAAATAGCTTCTCCCACTTGCTTATCTGCTTCTCCCACTTGAAATCATCTTCACAGTTTGGGACACTGAGTCCTTTTTATATTTATATCCTCAGAAGCTAATGGAGTCCTATATATATAGTTAGTGCTCAATAAATGCTTTTGGAAATAAACAAAACCAGTAGATACACAACTGGATTGTGAATCCCTGCATTTGTAGGCCTTAGTCATTCAAATCAATATCTAATATAAATCTTTCTTCATATTTATAGCCATGCATTTATATACATACAATTGCTATTCCATTGCACCTGGAGGATTTATTTCACATGCCAGTTCTTTCAAATGGGCAGGGAGTAGGGGTCTTCTATATTCCCTTGGTGGAACCCACCAGAGATGCTTAATGGAACGGTAAATTTGAAGGATAGAGGTACAAATGATAGGAGGATTGAATGACAATAAAGTATAGGCTTGTCAAAGGGTTAATTATGGTCAGAAATTCTCAACTAGGGATCCTTTTACAGCCTCTGTCGCTCCCCCTCTTCGCGGAGGAACGACACAGGACCCTGCGCTGTTCTTTTTTCTGCTCGGCCCTCCCCGGATTTGCTGCTGGTTCTTCCCAGGTTGGCTACCGACCCTTCCACCTCCGTGGAAGGGCGGCTCCCCCTGCCACTTTCCCCACTTCCGCGGGGGAGCGGCACACCGCCAGCTGGCTCACTCGGGGGCTGCTCAGATGTTCCTCAGGTGTTCCTGGTGCATGTTGTCTCTCTCCTCCTTTATAGTCCTCTTCCGCCAATCCCAACTCTGCTACCCACACACCGAGTATGCTGCTCTTCTCCAATCAGGAGCAGGTCCTACAGTTTATTGGTTGAACTGGAGGCAGCTGTGTAGAAGCTGTTTCCTCCTCTCCCAGCGCCATATTGTGGGAGAGCAGATGCATAGAATAAGTCTTAATTCCAGTAACTTAGTCTAGTCTGAGTTGCTCCCCACAAGCCTCCACTCCCATTCCCCAGGCATATTTGGAAATGTCTGGAGACATTCTTGGTTGTCATAATGGGGAGTAAGAAGAGAGGAAATTCGTATTTTTTTGGTGGGATACTTGTCTTGGCAATGATCTCTGACACCATCTGCCTTCCCATAGCTGAATAAAGAGAGTCACTGTCTGCTGATGACCATGGGCACTGCAAGTCTCAGAACTTCCTGCCGTGTCAGGAACAGAGTGTGGCTGCATGAGGAACCCACTTCCTCTCAGATCTGGGGCATTTCACCGTCATTTATCTGTTGACAAATATTCCTATCACCTGTAACTAGGCATGCAATCCTTCATGGCAGAGAACATATCTCTTACTTCCTCGTAACCATTGGTCACGATTTACCATAATTCCTCCTTAAAACACTTTGACATTCAGGGCATGATAACATTGCTTTACTTTTGGAATCCAATGGTTAGACAGTCATCTATACATAGTGTCTATGTTAAATTGCAACTAACTGGAATGTGAAGTGACCACAATTGTCCCTTCTCTCACAATTCTTGATAAATTATGGCTTATGGTGTTTGTCATTAAGGTTTATGTCCTTGGGGTCGGGTTTATGTAAGTTTAGGTGTTTAGGATCAGAGATAGGAACTTTTAAGTTCTTTTTTCTTCCTTGATTCCCTGGTTCATGAAGATATTGTCTTTCCTTGGGAAATAAAATGGACGCTTCACGCATAAGGAAAACAAAAATAAAAACAAAATCTGATCTGTTCAGGTAGATAACCTGTGTTGGGTAAGGCATGATAGGAGGTTGAGAGTTAAAGGTTTTTGTCAGAAGGTTCGGCCCTGCATGCACTTTTGACTTATGCAGAGGATATGTTTGATGTTCAACTCTTTAATTCCTCCTACCCTGTGTTATATGCCCTCTTCAGCCTGGGGTCCCTGGGAGTCCTGCAATGGAAGTAACAGCAGAGGAACAATTTTATGGTGCTAAATAGTGTGATGACTTGCCCATACTAAGAATGCTTATACTTTAAAACAGGGACTTCAAAGACAAATTGCTAAGAGGACGATTTCAAATATTAGATAATTAGGGTGGAATTAATTTTGAGGAGCCCTATCTCAGTATTCCTCAAGTGATATTGTGTGTAAGCATAAGCAAATGAAACAAGTATCACAAAAACTTCAGATTGGAGTCCTATGGGATGATAATAGGATTTTTAAAAGCTTCATATTTAACGTTTGTTTTCAATCTTCTGTAGCTGTCAATTGCAAGCAAGCATGTTGAACTTCTATTAGAGGAGAGAAGAGAGTTATCAAGATTGTTTAATCTTTACAAGTTTACCTATATCGTCCTAAGATGCTTAATGACAGATAAATAAGAATACAAAATTTTATTTTATTTTTGCTAAATACTGGTTTTCTTTGGGACCATTTCAGATCAGAATTTAAGTTCAAAAGTGCTGTAGAGAGCGCAGCTTGGGAAGGCCACTGTGCCTCTGAAGATGGCAATATTTACCAACACTAGAAGCTTCCTTCTTTATTATTACCCCACATTTTGGTGATGATGCCTAGGGCTGCAGCCAGTAGATGCTGGAGCTGGGACTAGAACTCATGTTGCCTGGCTGCAGGTGTTGCAGCCCCTCACTGTACTGCCTCGCCAGGCTGCCTCTGCTGTGCTTGGGGAGTTTTTCCACTGGAGGGCCTGTGTTTAGTGGAGAAGGAAGACGGTTTTCTCAGTGTTGTAATACCACTCTTTTTTGTTTCTAGGTTTTGGAGGTGCCCTGGGTTACCTTTTGGGTGCCATGGACTGGGCCCATCTGGGAATGGGAAGAATGCTGGGCACAGAGTTCCAGGTCATGTTCTTCTTCTCCGCCTTGGTGCTCACTTTGTGTTTTATTATTCACCTGTGCAGTATCTCTGAAACCCCACTTAGAGATGTTGCGGAGGCTGTGCCTCCTCAGCCAGCCCCACAGGGACCTCCATTGCCATCAGAGGCACTGTATGATTATGGCTCTATCGAGAAAGTTAAAAATGGCTACGGAAACCCAGAGCTGGCAGTACAGGGAGGAAAAAACAAAAATCCCGCTCCACAGGTAAGCAGGCAACTTCTTTTTTCTTTACTTGGGAAAAACATTTTGCTTGTGCTCATTCTTCTCTTTGTAAAATCTTTGCTTTGTTTGTTTGTTTGATGTGAAGAGTTTTGTGAAGTCTAATTAAACCCTCAAATCCCCAGAAGCTATTATCCCTTGGAATTAAAATTCTGCACCTCAAAGACAAATGTGTGCATTTTTCTCTGGTTCTCTTGTCTCTTACTCTTTTCAGATCATCAAACTAGAAAGCCAGTTCTGAAACATTAGACCTTGAAGAGTAGCCTGGAAACATTTGGGGGCCAGAAAAAAATGTTTTTTAAGGCTAAGTTTATAAATTATGAACTTATTCTTCCACATAGTAGCATACTTAGGTTAGTGACTGGGTTAGACATGTTGAATTTACGTATTGAGAGTTAATTCCATATTCTTTTTATTCCATTTTCAGTGAACTGTGTAGTGAGTTCTTTAGCTCAACCTTTTTAAAAAAAACCTCAATTAAATGCCAGTGAAATGGGACCACATTCAGATGAAGAAGAGGCTAGAATTATGCTAACCAATACAGTAGCTATTAATATTTTGAGGCTATTTAAATTAAAATCAATTCAACTGAAACAAAATTAAAACTTTAGTCCCTTCACATTTTAAATGCCCAGTATCTCCAGGGTGCTAGTAGCTACAGTATAGAACAGTACAGATATAAAACTTTTCCATCATTATACAACACTGATGCAGCAATTGCATATTCCTTCAAGATGAGTTTGAATACCAACAACTCAGGGGGTATGGTACAGAGGCTTCCCTCATTGATGAAGAAGTTGTAGATATGGGTTCAAATCTTGGTTCCTCTAGCTGTGTGATCTATATTATGCATTCAACAGATATCTAACAGGAATTTGCTGTAAGATACCTAAAAGATTAAGATCATAGGTGTTCCAATCCTGTCTCTATTACCTTAGAATGTGTCATCTTGTATAGGTATATTTTTGTAAAATAAGAAGGTAATTCCATCTATCCACAGGAACTTTGTGTAGGTTAAATGAGATAATCCATGTATAGTTACTTAGAATGATTCCCAACATGGTAAGGTGTAAGGTTTAGGTATTATGAGCCTGGCAGGATGTTAAGTATTCTAAGCACAAACAGGGAACACAATGGGAACTCTAATAACTTTCAAATAAGCCCAAGGAATCCCATCTCCCTTTGAGGTTGATATCTCTTGTTGGCTTTGCCTGTATATTTTCTTTTTTTTTTTTAAACTTTTATTTAATGCATATAATTTTCCAAAGTACGACTTATGGATTACAATGGCTTCCCCCCCCCATACCGTCCCTCCCACCCACAACCCTCCCCTTTCCCACTCCCTCTCCCCTTCCATTCACATCATGATTCTTTTTCAATTATCTTAATATACAGAAGATCAGCTTAGTATACATTAAGTATGGATTTCAACAGTTTGCTCCCACACAGAAACATAAAGTGAAAAATAATAGATGATTTTTTTAAATGATGATGAAATCAGAGCAGACCTATTGTCATGTTTAATCCCAGTGAGAGTCAAGTTGGGAATTGATAATTTCTTTCTTTTTTTTTTTTACAGAGGATCAGTTTAGTATGCATTAAGTAAGGATTTCAACAGTTTGCACCCCCATAGAAACACAAAGTGAAATATATTGTTTGAGTACTCGTTATAGCATTAAATCTCAATGTACAGCACATTAAGGATAGAGATCCTACATGAGGAGTAAGTGCACAGTGACTCCTGTTGTTGACTTTACCAATTGACACTCCTGTCTATGGCATCAGTAATCTCCCTATGCTCCAGTCATGAGTTTCCAAGGCTATGGAAGCCCTCTGAGTTCTCCGACTCTTATCTTGTTTAGACAAGGTCATAGTCAAAGTGGAGGTTCTCTCCTCCCTTCAGAGAAAGGTACCTCCTTCTTTGATGACCTGTTCTTTCCACTGGGATCTCACTCGCAGAGATCTTTTGCCAGAGTGTCTTGGCTTTCCATGCCTGAAATACTCTCATGAGCTTTTCAGCCAGCTCCGAATGCCTTTAGGGCTGATTCTGAGGCCAGAGTGCTATTTAGGACATCTGCCATTCTATGAGTCTGCTGAGTATCTCACTTCCCATGTTGGATCACTCTCCCCTTTATTTACTCCATCGGTTAGCGTTAGCAGGTACTAGACTTGTCTATGTGTTCCCTTTGACTCCCAGTCCCTTCACCATGACCAACTGTGAACTGAAACTGATCACCTGGAACAGTGAGATGGCATTGGTACATGCCACCTTGATGGGATTGAATTGGAATCCCCTGGTATGCTTCCAACTCCACCACTTGGGGCAAGTCAGCCTGAGCATGTCCCAAATTATACATCTCTTCCCTCTCCCATTCCCACCACCATGTTCAACAGGGATCACATTTCAGTTAATTTTCAACACTTAAGAATAACTGTGCATCAATTACAGATCTAAACCAGTCATATTAAGTAGAACAGATAAAAAAAACTACTAAGAGGGATAATGTATTAAGTTGTTCATTAACAGGGCTAGAAATCCAGTCATTTGCAACAAAATGGAGGAATCTGGAACACATCATGCTGAGTGAAATAAGCCAGTCCCAAAGGGACAAATACCATATGTTCTCCCTGATCGGTGACGACTGACTGAACACCAAGAGGGAAACCTGTTGGAGTGAGGTGGACACTATGGGAAATGGTGCCTGTATATTTTCTAAGATTGATGGGACATTCAACAAAAATAAAGCATATGAAAGTGTTTTCTAAACTTTTCATAACTAGATAAGCATATTATAATCACTATTGATTCAGTTTTGGGTACCGTACTATAATAGGTATTTGGGAACTGTAAAATTGACTTATGTCTAATCCCTACACACAGGAATTTATGGCTTACCTAGGGGCATGCAGCTTTTATATTATCACTGATAATCCAAGTACCCAAGGTAGAGCACAGTAAATTGTGCAAAAGCAATGTGTCAGTTCAGTCTTCTAAAAAGCAGGCACCAGGACAGAATTAGATAATGCAAGAGATTTATTGGGGAACAGCATGAAGAATAGCGGGGAAGCAGAGGCAGAAACAATGGCCAGGAGAGTCTTTGTTTCATTACTCAGGACAGAACCTATGAAACAAGATGGAAAGGGGAGAAGGCTGAGGCAGGCAGCCTCTCAGCTGAAGCGCAGTTCTAAGAAAGCTTCCGTTGGGCCAGGAGGGAGTCCTCCAGCCAACATTGCCTTTAGAATAGTCCCAAGTTTTGCAGGACAAGCTAGCATTAGCATCCCCAGTTGGCTAGTCATTGGCTAGAAACAGCCAGGGAAAGGGTAGCCTTGGCTCAAACAGATGGGAGATCTGGATTGGCAGTAGTTGGGGCTGTGAGTCAACTGTGCTTTCTCCTGCAGGGGAACCAAAGGGCACAAGTGATGTGATATCAATTGCTATTAGATTTGCAAGAGGGAGAGACTGTTTTAGGCAAACAGCAAGAATTCATGGAAGAGATCACCTTTGAGTTATGCCTTGAATGATGGCCAATATTTGAATTGGTAAAGAGCTGGGGAAGTAACACTCCTGGTAGAGAAAAGGACATTGCAAATCCACAGAGATAAGACAAAACAAAACAGAAATGTGTGTGTGTGTGGGGGGGAGTATAAGTGATAAGGAGATGATGAAGTTTGTAAAGATAGAAATAAATTAGGAAAGCAAATTTTGTATGCTTTTGAAAGCCAGAATAAGAGCTAAAATTTTATTAAGTAGAAGATAAAGGATATTGAAGCTAGGATAGAGGCCTGCTTGATGTTGTGTGTGTGTGTGTTTTATTTTAAATATTAGCTGGCTGTTGATGATAGTGGGTAAAAAGGTAACCAGGAGAGCAACATAGTGACCCCAAGTATGAGCTAACAATGGGCCAGAATTAGGGAGATGGCCAATGAAAATAAAAAATGTGAAATTAAGGAGGTAAACAAAGAACATAGAAAATTGTTATATGTGTAGAGACTGAGAAATAGAGGCATTAATAAGCTTATTTCAGCTGTGACTGAGATATGAGGATGCACATGTCTGGCAGTTAAGAGGGAATGCAGGCAGGGAGAGAGAGAGATAGAAAGAGAGAATCAAAAAGATTCAAAGATGACACGATGACATTTAAGCCACTGGAAATGATTGAAATCACCAAGGAGAAGTAGAGAAATGAGTAAAGAAAATGGGAGGAGGGAAAGGTGCCAGTGATAGGAAGTAAAATGTTAAAGGATATACAATATGAAAAGATGTGATTTTTTATATCAAAAATATAAAAGGCAGAGGATATGAAATAAACGTATAGCATTATACTCACATGTAATCAAAGTTAGGTTATTACTAGCTTAACATAGTTTGCTATAAAATATTTTAGGTGAGCCTCATGATAACTGCAATGCAGTCACCTATAGTGGATACCCAAATTTATAAAAAACTAGAAATTAAAACCAATAAACAGAGCAAATAATCTAATCATAAGAAAAATAGCAAGTGAGGAGGAAAGGAACAAAAGATCTATAAAATAAGCAAAAAGCAATATCTAATTAAAAAAACACAAAATGGCTGAATAGATATTTTTCCTTTTTTAAAATATTTATTTATTTATTTGAAAGGCTGAGAGTTACAGAGAGGCAGAGGCAGAGAGAGAGAGAGAGAGCGAGCGAGTGAGCTCCTCCATCCACTGGTTGACTCCCCAAATGGCTGCAAGGAGTGGAGCTGTGCGGATCCAAAACCAGGAGCCAAGAGCTTCCTCCATGTCTCCTACAAAGGTGCAGGGGCCCAAAGACCTGGGCCGTCTTCTACTGTTTTCCCAGGCCAAAGCAGAGAGCTGGATTGGAAGTAGAGCAGCAAGGACTCAAACCGACACCCATACAAGCTGTTGGAAGAGCAGGCAGTGGCTTTTACCCACTATGCCATAGCACTGGCCCCGTAGATATTTTTCAAAAGAAGACATACAAATCACCGATAGGAACAT